GGCCGGCAGCCTGCAGTGCCCGGGCCCGGTGAGACAGTAGCCAGCCCTCGTCTGGCCACCAGCCCGAAATGGCTTCCGAGAGACACCCTGGCCCGGGAGGTGCCCAGTGCTGGGCCCGGGGAGGGACCTCACCCAGAGTGATTGGACCAGAGAAACTGGCCAGAGCCCGAGGTGGAGCTGGGCCCAGTGACGCTCCCTGGGGACCCGGCCAGCCCAGCCAGCGGGGGAGGCTTCCGTGCAAAAGGCCTCGGGAGGCTTCTCTGGGCTCCAGGAGCCTGGGCACCAGGAGGCCCTGCAAGTGGCCCGGGGCGGGTGCCGCCCACAGCCCTGCCCGCTCACCAGGCGGCCTCACAAGCAGTGCCCGCAGCTCACCTGCTGGCACCGGCTCTGTGCGCGTGGTTCTAGCGGCACCAGAAAGCCATCGTCCTTCCAACACTGACCTGCTCCCGACTCAGGACCCCCTCCGTCGCCCCTCAGCAAGTCCCATGGGAGGACCGGAGGTGCCCCCGGGGGCCCCTGGGGATGGGGTGGGCCCAGATGCCTGGTCCTGGGGCTCGGGTGGTGCCCTCCTCCCAAGGGAGTTCCGGCTCCTGAGGGCCAACAGCTCGGGCCTGAGGTGGGGCTCCCCAAAGCCCGGCCTCCACACCCTCTCACCCACCAAGACTCTTATCGCTGGAGGCGGAGAGCGAGGGCTCCAACCGCAGCCTCTGAGCACCGCCTGCGGGTGCCCGGGTTCGGGGGAGGCCTGGAGGCTGGGCGGGCCACAGGGCCAGGCGCCAGGTGAGAGCACACTGCCCCTGGGGGCTGCCACTCCGACATTTGGGGGGACCTCGCTCTTCCCGAGGAAGGCCCACAGGAACACACTCCTATCAAAGCAGAGAGTCCCAGCTGGACAGTTAGCGTGGCTCTGACAGGTATGATCCAGGCTGACCGGGGAGTCCATGGGAGGGCACCCCACAGCCCTTTGCCGGGCGCCTGGGAGAGGACCCGGGGAGGAACCCAGCACCAACGTCAGGGCCGGCCCAAGCGCAGGGGTGACCAGAGAGGGCTTCCTGCCGGAGGTGGAGCTCATGCAGCCTTTGAGGGTCCCGTGGGGTGGGGATGGGAGGGGGAGGGTCGGCACGGGGCAGCAGGAGCAGCCGGGCCTGCGTGCGGACACACCGCCAGGGTCCGGGAGGAGAGAGCCGGGCGCTGTCTGCGGGGGCTTCCGGGAGCCTCCAGAGGCGGCTGGAAGGAGACTGGAGAGGAGGTGCCAGCCTCCCTCTCCGGGAAAGCCGGCGGGAGCCCCTAGTGAGGGTTCCCCAGGCAGGCCACCGCGATCGCGGCCAGAGTAAGGCCGCAGGGAGGCCTCCTTGCCTCCCAGAAGGGAGGACCCCCCCACCCCACCCCGAGGCAGCCCAGCATGGCGGGCTGGGGAAGGGGGGGCCCCAGCAGACCTCACCGGGCCTGTGAGGGCCCCCTCCGGCTGCCTGCCTGCCCGGGCACCTGCACGCTTCCCCCCAGAGGAGCCCCAGGACCAGAGGCAGGACCTTGGCCGCCAGCCGGGCCCAAGGAGCAGACGGCGCCACCTGGTGGCTCTGGTCCTGCCTGAACCTTTACCACCAGGCGGACCCTGCGGTCCTGAGGGACCCTGTGGCTCCCCAGGCTTCCGGGCGCCTCTGGGCTTGTGACCAGGATCCCGAGGGTCCCATGATCCTCTCGGGCCAGCTCCCAGGCATCTCCTGCGGTCCTGAGGGGGCAGCCTTCAGCAGCAATCAGCTCAGGAACCCTCCTGGGCCAGCAGCACCAGATCCTGTGCTGTGCCCGCCCCGCCCCTGCCCTAACCTGGGCGAGGACGCCCTCAAGACAGGGCAGGGGAGAGGCCTGCACACGCACACACACACGTGCATCCACACCCCCCCACGCACACGCATGCACGTGTGCACACACAGTGTGCTGACCACTGATGCCGAATTCTCCGCCGTAAAAACCTGGAGGCAGCTATTTTGACTCCAGAATACACATGGGATCTGACAGTTTATAAAGGGAAGACTGGAACTCCACAGGGGAGCTGGTGCCTCTGCCTGTGGCCTCCCCCGTGCGGCTCCAGGGACCCCGAGGGACCCTCCGGCTCTCGGGCCGCCCCAGGCCCACAGGGGCCACCGGGCACTCTGCCTTGGGGAGGGGGTGTGTGTGGAAAACATGTAGCCTCTTGTTCAAAGATGGTTAGAATTTCAAGGCAGGCATCGCACGGAGCCCCCTCCGTGTCCCCTCTTTGTGCTGTGACCACCGGGACCAGCCCTGAGGGTGGCAGAGCCAGGCCCGGGAGGCACACCCCCTCTCAGCGTCCAGGGGTTGGGTTGGCTCTGGGAGTGGGGCTGCCTCTGCCCAGCCATCGGGGACCGAGGCATTGATGAGCGTATGTGGGGGTCATCGCAGGACCATGTGGGCCCCTGTCGGTCCCTCAGCAAGCTCAGCGCCAGGCTGGTGGGGCTGCAGCAGGAGGGGATCTGGCCCACATGCCTGGTTATTTCTGGAGGGGGTGGCAAGAGGGGTGCCAGGCTCTTGTGGGCAAAAAGGGGGAGCCCCAGGTTGGAGGAAGGGTGCCTCTTTGCTGTCAGGGCTCCCCAGAGGAGAGGGGCCCAGGAGGACCTGCCCGTGGGCCTAGGGTCAGGGCGCACACTACCAGGCAAAGGGCCCCCAGATGGAATGCTGGGTGGGAGGAGCCAGCCTGGCCAGGTGCGCTCCCTCCCCAGGCCCTCGGCAGGTGGCTGCGCCGGCCCGCCCTCCTTCCTACCCCCTCGCCTAAGGGTGGCAGAGAGGCAGGTCTGGGCGGCGAGCTGCTGAGTCAGTTTGTGAGGAATGTTCGGGCCGCTCCCAGACACACCCTGAGCCTGCCGGCCCCACCGCACCCTCCCAGGTGCCTTGGCCCCGCGCCCGCCCGTGCCAGGAACGCACCTTCAGCCCCAGCTTGCTCAGACCAGCTCCCACCGGCAGCAACCCCACTGCTCCCCCCTGCTCCCCCCATGACCCCACTGAGCCCCCTTCACCATGCTCTCAGGTGACCCAGAGCCGGTTCACGCGTGAATCAGCTCCTCCTGTGTAACATGCAGACCGGGGAAATGGGGGGACAAGGGGGGTCCCCAGGCAACAACCCCTTGGGATCTCGGGGTTCCTGCAGGAGGAGGCTCTGCGACGAGAGGGGTCTGCAGGGAGGCCCGGGAGGCCCAGCCTGCTTGGCCAGGGCTGGGGGCGGGGAGGTGGCCAGGAGGCCAGGCCTGTGGCAGCTAAGCCAGCACTTT